AAAAAAACAGAAGAGCTGTTTCTCGTGACACGATTCTCAACTGATGTAAATCCTCACATGATCATCTGAGCTCCTGATCTCTTCTGTCCCACATGTCATGATGAACAACAACAAGCATATTGAACCTCACAATATTATCATCATAACAAATTACAAACAAGTTATTTCATATACTTTTATATCATCATATATAATTTACTTTAGCAAATATTTTTAATCTTTTCAATTATTATTTGAATTGCTCAACTTTCTTAACTTGTATATTCCACTTGTTATATTATTACATACTTTCAGTCATGTCTGTTTTAGCTCTCTTTTGCTGTTACTTCCTGTGAGTAATTTACTGTTTCAAAAAAAGCAAATCCTCTGATGTACATGGAGCTGCTCTGGAGATACAGTCATGTGCTGCGTCATCTGCTCAGTTTCTTTCAATAGATGAAGAACAGAGTATACACAGCAAAGCTCCACCAGCACGAACTGACACAATACTGGGCACAAAGACTCCATTTGCAGCCGGCATTAACATGTGTTTCATATCCTAATTGTTTATAGATATGATTCAAATTTTTGATTTCTGGTAAAAATTTGTCTAGCTCACATGACATGCTCCACAAAATGAAAACAAGCAACAGTCAGAATAAATATAGGTTCATTGAATGGCCAAAGGCTGTTAACTGCTGCCTCCTCTGGTTTAGAACGGAGGCACTTGAATTGTGTATTTCTGCTTATTATTGTGGGTGATGTAAAAACATAATTTCATTACTCTTGTGTTTATATAGTTAAAATACATCTCTTATAACCATATATAACCTATAACCATAGGTGGTTTGGCTGATTGGATCAGAATCTGTTGTCAATAACTCTTGGGCACATTTCAACCTGAACTCTCCTTTGGTCAAGCTCTGTCTGATTTTTATTCTGATCAACCAAAACATTTGAATGCAGGTTTAGATAGTGTTAATGTCTATCAAGTTATTTATGGGAAAATGGATCACAGAAACACCTCAGCTTTGAGACTTAAGAGAAACAGCAAATGATGCTGCCTCTAAAAATTTAATCAGTAATTGCTTCAAAACTGATATCCACAAACCTTAATTAGCATGTCTTTATGTTCCATATGCCATGTTTTCACTGAACTTGATACCATCACTATGGCTCCCTTTTACATTTACTTCTATGTCCTCCACACTTTGCTCCTGACTACAGAGAGAAGAATATATTCATAGTAAGCACTCATATCCTATGGTCTTGTGTTATCACTTGAAGTGCACTCCGTGCCTAGCTCTGCTTTCACTAATGCTGTTTTATATAAAAAGCAATCTCTATGAAAGCCCTGCACCTCCCACACGTGAACAGTCCTGACCTCCCCTCTTGTTACATGGTAAAAGCGCTCTCCTCAATTCATTTCTCATTACATGGTTTTCACATAATCACATACACACTGGTGAATGACTGGATCACATTCTGCATATCCACATGTGTATGAGTAAACAATAGAGTCCTATGTTGTAATAAGCCACGTCACACAACCAAAATCGTTTATTAGTTTAGATCCCTCTCCTCTCCGTTTAAAGCAGACACCGGGGGTTGATCTGCCCTCCGTGATTTACAGTGCAGTGAAAGCATCTGCATTGAATAATAGCGAAGAATGACAAGTAAACTGTGGCGTGGTGACTGGAGCATGGTACGGACAGTTTGCTGGGAGAAGGGAGGTGATAGCTCCCCTTTTGGCCTTTTGTACTGTCAGCTGAAGTGAGGAAAGGCAGGCTGCTTGGACCCACTTGTACGACACATGTGGCATGAACACATACACATACATGTGAAGACATGCAAGTGTAATTTGGGGAAGGTTCTGAACAATAGTCACCAAGGAGAGATAACAGATAATACAGCTTAAATCATCTAAAATCAGTGCTAGCCAATGCAGAACTACAAACTGATCATTAGTTCCAAAAAAGGCATGGTCCTCAAAGTGGAGCATTCATTCTTTAAGGTCAGTTAAAGATGTTTTTATTATTTAAATGTGAATAAACAGGTTAATCATATGTATTAAATCAGACTAGGATCTTTGACTAACATTAACCAAGAGCTGTGAGAGTCTGAAAAGAACCATTATAGTTCTATAGACACTACTACGTGGATATTATCCTGCTATTATTATCCTCAGATATTGTGGTGGAGAGTATACATGATGTCTAATAAAACTTTACTTACATGTTCAGAGTCACTGTATTTGCAATTTGTCAAGTACAAAAATCAACAACATAGCACATGAACACAAAATATAATTCAGGCACCTTGGTTTCTAACACAATGTTACACTCTTAATTAGTGCATAATTGTAAATTCTAGGAGATAGGGTTGAGGTGACGGCTCGCGTTAAATGAAGGCCCTGCCAGCCAAGTGTCTCATTAAACGCAAAATGAAAGATTTCAAGTGTGCGTACTAGCTGTATTTCTCAAATAAAGACAGTGTATAGGAGTTTGTAATGTTCTCCCAAAGCTGCTCATCTGCTGAAGTACTCAAGCTCCTTTTGCTCTACCCTGCAGGAAGGCTAATGACAGACATGTAAGTAGGCAGCGTGACCTGTTCTGCTGCACATGGAGTTTATTTGCTGGGGGCACAAATACGTCTGTGGTGCTGCAGCCCAGGGAGCGGCAATCTGACAAGCAGCGCAGACCTAATCCAGGCCAGGTCTGGGGCAGTGTTTGGTATGCATCCCTTAGGTATGGAATAAATACAAGGCCGGTAAGCAGATCTGCTTGGCCTGGACAACTGCAGAAGAGTGGAGGGCTTTCCAACCTTGCGTTATATGCCTTGACGGGATGTCTCTTATCCATATATGTAACCTCATAACACTCTGAGCTCTTCACAAATAAGAAGAGCTTTGATCTTCTGTGGAAAGTAATGCAGTTTTAATGTCCAACTTCAAGGGCCATTTGCTGCATTTTTATCAGTTAGCAAGGCTGCTTGGCAAATTTCTGAATGTCAAGTCAGGGGGTGTTGGTAGCCTAGAGGTGAGACAAGCAGCTTTATGATTGGAGGGTTGTCAGGTTGAGTTCCTCATTGGGGGAATGTGGGTGGGGAAAGCGGATAAATAACACTCTTCCCTCCCTACAGCACTTCATTTCATTTGAGCTACCTTTGAGCAAGACATCGAACTCCCAACTGCTTTGGAAAGAAAGAAAGTGGGGAAAATGAGATTATAAATGAATCTGCTGAACGATGTAAATGTGGTCGTGTGAAAAGTGGTCAGTGGATAATCTCGGGCTAAATTTAGGTTTTCAGAAAAAAGATAAAAAGGAAAGTTTGTATTGCACTTTCTTTTTAGTGAACCTATAAAGTGTGTCTCCACCTGGTGGCATCCCACCACCCCCACCCCCACCCCTTTCTCCCTTAAACTGCAGCAGATAGAGCACACCAGGTGTACCTGTTTAAACTTGCTGTGTAATTTGTGGATTAGTAGATGCCTCTAATGGCGAAAATCATCAGAGCTTTCATTCTGCCACATGAAGGAAAGGGAGGTGTGTGGGAGCATGGAAAGAAAAAAAGACACAGACGTAAGAGCAAATTGTGCCAGTCTACACATCAACATGAGGAAACCTAAATCTGAAATGAGTAATAATCACTCTTCAATCTTTTCATGTGAATGTGTGAATATTGGTCACTTGGGATCCATGGACATCTGTTGAAAAATATACTGTATATACACAGTATACACAAGCATCTCTGCAATCATAACATCTTGAGTTGTTTGATGATGTGAACATCGTGATTCCTCAATGACATGAATGTTGCAGGAAAGCCTGCGTTTTAATATCGATTTAAAGGAGTAAACAAGCCAATTTTAGGAGGAAGTTCCTGTGTTCTGAACATAAGAGCCATTCCTACCCTGCCTCTGAATGGATCACCACAATATTCCTGACCTTTTCCAAGGTCTTTTCCTGAAGCTAACCAACCCATCCAACAAAGGCATTAATTAGCCGATCAGAGGCAGGGTAGGCACAAGTCATCACCTACCTCGGGTGAAAAAATAATAAATTCTGGACCATTGATAGATAATTTCCCTTTCAATTTAACAAGGCATGGCATACAGTTTTGCTCTGTGGAAAGCATATGTGGCTACAGCAGCTGTTTGGCTCAAACCTGCAGAATACACCTGGTACCTGGGGTCAGATCAGGTTCCCACCACGAACTATCTTCTCCAATCTTGGTTTGGGACCTGAACGAGACCACCTCCTCTGAAGGGTCTCAGTGCAGTTTATTTGGTCAAATTCTCAAATGTAAAAAAAGAATACACTCTTAATTAATTACAAAACTTTAGTGCCAGCTTAAAATGCTTTGATACTTCAAGAAGTTTTTCATTAACATTTTGGATAATGCCAAAACAAGGTGTGGCGGTTTGATACCTTAGGTTAAAGGTAACAGCGATTTGGTTTTTTGTCATGTGTGAAGTCCCACTCTTCCTGAGGAACACTCAACACAGACACTGACACATTCCTGACGGCACAAGGCATAACTTGTTATGGAGGCTGTTCACAGGACTGTGTTAAGGTGAATCCAGACACACACACTGGGCTGTGTGAACCGAGAGGGGCAGCGTTGATTTAGGGCATTACTCAGACGGAGAGAGAGAGGGGAAAAGAGGGAGAGTCTCCCCTGACTGCATTAGGAGAGCCTCCAGCCTTTGTGATTCCTTTTGATCAAATCTCTGTGAAAGATGAGTGTCATGCCCTCTTCCAGCCAGCTGTGAGGGGACTGCCCTGCGACTCTGAGGGGGTAGACTTGTGTGTGTGTGTGTGTGTGAGAGAGAGAGAGAGAAAGAGAGAGAGAGAAAGCACATGCACACCTCTATGTGTGTGTGTTGTGTGCACAGGCTAGGGAGGGAGCAAGCAGCTCCTGAGGTGAGAATGCCGAGTGGGAGGATCTCATTCCAATCCCCTGTGCCCAGTTTCAACACACACACACACACACACACTCAACATCTTGAGTAGTTTAGAGCCAGTTCACGACAACATGAGAGGAGTGAAAGCAGAGGATGTGTGTGTGCGTGTGTGTGTGTAATGAGAGTAAAAGCAAAGTGACTTCTGTTTTTTGGTGAGCGCTGGTGGCTCAGTGAGTCTGTGTGAGAGAGGAGAGAGAAGCAGAGTAAATGTGTGTCTATGTTGTTGAACAAGACGCTGCTGGGTGTGATGGCTCTTTTGCATTAGTACTAGTGCGGACAGGAGAGTTGGAGGCAGTTGTTTTGTGGGACTCGCGAGGAATGGCAAACTCCACGGTATCCTTGGAAACGTCCGACTAAATGATAATGGCTGAGGTAAGAGAGGTGGCTTTTTACTGCTATTTTCTGTCTGCTCCGGCTCTTCTCACACACACTCCCTGCAAACATGATCAGGACACGCTGAACAAAGACAAATTGGACGCAGTCCATGTCGACTGGAGTGACAGGCAGGAGCAGTGCAGACTTTTATTCCGAGTTGTGTAGATGAGAAAAAATTACAATGTTTTTGATTTCATAATTGAGTGCATGTGCATTTGTTCATTTATGAGTGACAGTAACATGAATAGAAACATAATGAGTTTAGTTGCTCTGTCATTCTGTGATTTATCTATACTTATTTCAGGATTTGTTGTTACAAGTTGTTTCGTTGTGATTTATTGGCCTTATTCTATTTTTTATACAGGTCTTAGTTTTGAGGATCACAATTTTTTTTTTTAATTAAGTGAAGTGGCCAAAGTTCACAAATGTGAAATGTCCCCTCAAGTCAGTCAGCTCTACAAGAACTTTGTCAAGTTTAAATTTCAATTTGGAACATTCAGAGAATACGCAAATGCAAGAATACAGAATCTTTGATACCGGATTTGATAAGTAATCCTTGAGGCTGGTGATTTTTGTAAAAGTTTTCAAAAGTCATCCACAGTGATCACATTTCTATAACTTTGAGTTGCGCTCAGACACTTGAAGTCCTTGTGTGACTGATGAGGAAGTCACAATGAGGGCGTCTTTGCCCCAGTTAGTATGGACAGAGATGTCCTTACATGCCTTCCAAGAATCCACCAGACAACCTTTTATAAACAAAGACAGTAACTTAACTGCATGGAAGTCACTAAAAACTCTCTATCCAATTTCATCCCCCTTTTGAATTATAGAATCAGCCCCTATTTTTTACCTGCGGGTATGTCCTCCATCCTGTCGGCCCCTCGTCTGTCCCTCTTTCCGTCTTTATATCTAACCATCTGTAGTTTGCACATCAGAGCAGCCTGCACTCATGCAGTCTCCTGGCTGCAGTCTTTTGGAATGTAATTTAACAGCAGCCTAATGTTTTGTTACAGCCATAATGTAACAATTAGCCGGTGGTGGTAGTGTCGGTAGAGGCAAGCATTCTGTGTGTGTGTGTGTGTGTGTAAACAGTGCCTAACAGTTTAAGGAGAAACAATTGTGGTTAGATTCCCTGCATGTCAGAGTGCAGAATCCAAACAGTTTACCTTCCACAACGTGTGATAAAAATGTGTTTGATGAATGAGGCAAAGTCCATGTGAAGAGATAATCAGTGAAGGTGACTGTCAGTACTGAAAAGTTGCATGACATTATTTTTTTATTCCGATTCTTTGTGAAAATAAAACACCCATCTTCCTGTTTCAGCTAAAAAATATTTGATCAAATTTTCAGACTTTTTGATTTCATTCAAAAACTTTTATATAATCGCAATAAACAATGACTCCAAAAACAGCATTAATATGTCTGTGGGATTGTTATAACAATTATATTTGATCAGTAATTTGATCTATGAACAGCCTATGAATAGCCACTCTTATGGAGAAATATCGATCCCTAAATATTATATTGGTATTAACTTTTTAATCTGATTTTTTTACATATATCATAATGATAATAAGTTTTAAAAAATTCTATAAAACTTAATCTATTGAATTCGGAACAAGCGCTGCCATAAGTTTACAATGTGTATTTTCTTCATCACACATTTTATGTTTCTTTAACAGGCCTTCCCATTTTCCGATGTGTGAAAGGCCATTCCTCTATCAATCCATGACACGAATTTACAGTCATTTGTTGTGTGTGTATGCATGTGTTTGTGTGCATATGTGTGTGTCTGCGTGCATGTGTTTGTGACAGAAATAAGTTTCGAGTTGAATGGCCCTCTGTGGCTTTCCTCGAACACACTGATGTCCTGTCTATTCCTGCCGCATCTCATTGTCTCCATCTTTTGTTTCCTTTTTCTACCTCCATCTCTTTCTGTGGGTGTCTCTCTGTTCTTCTTGTCTGCTACAGGGCCCCAGGGCACAACACACACACACACACACACACACACACACACACTAGACAAGGAAATCAAAGCAAGGGCCCATCTTTACAGAGTTATACTTCACTTTGTATGTGTTAGTGTATTGGCAGTGGCGACAGAAGCTTGCAACCTCGTCAGCTTCATTAGGCTCATGATAGTCCATCCGTGAGAGGATGGGTGTGTGTGTGTGAGTGTGTCTGCTCCAGCCTTTTTACCCCCTTCAGCGTCTCCTTGAGCTGTGATCCGCCCCTCCTGGTCCCAGCCTACCCCCTTAATACCCCCCCCAAACTCTACACATACACACATACATACACACACGCACTCAACAGCCACCCCTTACGTCTGCTTTGCGCTGCCACCAAAAGGCTTGTGAGGATTTGTCAGCCAGATGTGACAAGATTGTCAGGAGGCAGGCGAGGAAAGAGGGAGATCTGATATTAATCAGAGCGTAGCTGGAAGCCAAACTCTCTCAGACTCAGTGTACTAACATGTTCCCCTCATTTACTCCCTCTCTGAGCCAAACACTCCCTCAGAGTTCCTAACGGGGAGCCGCATACACCAGGAAGCCAACCAAACTTTGGCTTGCCTCTTCCCCCCTCCACCACCACCCCTCCTCCCACAAGCTCATCTCTTTGTCTTTTAAGATTTTTTTTATTTCCTTAAAGAAGCCAACCATTTTTTCATGGATATTCAGGTAAAGATTTGCTACCTCTTCTTGTCTGCTTGAGTGTTGAACCATGTAGTGTGTATATGTGTGTGTGTATGTGTGTGCTTGGTTGTGATTGACTGCTGGATGAGTTTGAAATAATGAGTTTTTCACGCTGTCTTTGGGCTGTATGGACTCTTAATAGGCTCAAACACAGCCTGTCACTACTTGCACTCGCCCAGGCTTTTCCTGGGCTTGTCTTCTCCTTTTCAGGTTCAGTGCAGTGTTAAAGGAATGCTCATGCTTTTAGTTCCCTTTTTCTTTCTTTCTTTTTTTTTTTAATTTAAATTATTTTATGAACTACTACTTCTGGCATGCAGTGTAGCCTAAACTCTAAAGGAAGCTGTTAAATCACACATAGGCTGGATGTCTTTGCAGCTGAGACTTTGTGTATAAAAAAGTTGAACTTAATGTATTCATTTAAGACAATATCACAAGTGAATGATTTTTATCTGGTGCTGTGTTTAAGTGCTTCCTCTTTCATTGTGGAGTGACATTGAATCATAAGCTGAGGCAGGACCACGTTGCCTGCTGAGCAGCTCATGTTTTGTAACCTCACTTTAACTAACACTTGTCATCAATTAACATTTTACTACCTCGCTGTCACATAAACAACTTGGTCCGAGGCGTGATTTATTCATGAGACTGTTCTGTGCTTGTACCATGCACACACAGACACGATGCAGACGCAGCCTGTGGTCGGCGGCGGGGCCAGGTGTAGTTTTGCTGCTGAGGTGCTTTTATTGGTGGAAGTCTTCATTATTAGCAGGATATCTGAGTGGTACCAGGAGAACTGTCCTCCCACTAAATTCCTCAGTGTTTCTGTGTGTTCTGGCTGAGATCAAATATTTATTTCCTCTGTGTGTGTGTGAATGTGTGTCAGAGTGAAAATGTTTCTTGATTGCTGTGCTGCTGTTTTTGTTGAATTCAGCCTTTTAAATTTGTTTCCCTTTAATTTTGAATATGAAGCTGTATTCAACAAACACTAAGGCACTTGTTCAAAACAGCTGTTATATGTAAAAAAAACATTTTCAAGTGAATTGATTGAAAACTGTTGCATTTTATAGAATTATTATCTTCACAGTTATTCTGTTGATTGTTTTACAGTAACAATTCATTATTTGAAGAGAGAAACCATTTGTCAATTACAGGTTCCCACAATCCAAGGTTACTTTAAAAAAATGTTTTTAAAGACGTGAATATCAAAATTATATTGAGCAAAAAAAATAAAATAATTTGAATCATTTAAACTTTACACATTTGAGAACCGGGAACCCGTATCTTTTTTAAATTTCATTCATTCATTTATTTTTAATTAACTACTGCAATGATTCACTGTTTCTTTGTGTCTTAAAAATAAAAATAACCAGTTATAAAATGTAACAATTGGCTTTATTCTTAGCTACTAAATAATTTATGAGAAAGATGATAAAGATAGCTTGATCAATCAGTCTGATCAATCAGTCTGGCTGTTAGGAGAATCAACATGAACCAACTTTGAAAATATTTTTTCTCATTAATAGCTCATAACTAATGCACAAAACATTGGCAAATTATTTATTAATCATTAATTAATACATTAGTTGCATCTAATTAACCCCCCATAAAAGGTGCCTTCATAGAAAATGGTATCAACTAAATGTATGAATGTGTAAAAAAAAAGACATTTGGTTATTTACAAATGCTTAGTATTTCCAACTTTGACCAGGGACAATAATGGTTTGACAGAATCTTAAAAATATAAAATAATAATAACCTAGATAAGGTTCGCACCCCTTGGGTGCTTTTAGGAAATTCCGCTGTTTTCAACTAAATATTTTTCAAGTTTTAAATCTTACAAAAATGTAAATGGTAATAATGTGTGTGATGCAGTTCAGTGATCTATATTTCCCTGACAGGAAAACTCTCACTTTATTTCCCCTGTGCCATAATTGTCTTGTTAACTGATTAATGGCTGCTAGTAAAATCTGATCCACCCTCACTTGGCCATTCCTCAGAGCTGCTGATAGCACTGTTGTTACTCACTCTTTGGCACCAACACTGCTTGTTTCCCCATTGAGTGTCAGTTAGTGCCGGGTTGTTGCTAATTGATTAGTTTTCCACTGCATTAGGCCAACAAGTCCCTGTCCGTCCCTGAGCTGTCACTGTCCAAGCAGCTGTTCATTTCTGCTCAGTCTCTGAAGCACTGTGACTCTTCTGGACACATGGCAAAATGTTATTTCAAGAGCCAGAAAATACTTTTTTTCTATTTCTTGTGTGTGTGTGTTTATCTTTGTCTAGAAAGGGAAAAGCTTTTTTTCTGACTTTCTTCCAGATTTTGACTCAACTGTGACTCAACTATGAGTTTTATAAATCACCACATAAATAAAAACTTTTAAGCTTCAGTTTTTTATGATTCTCTCTAAAATAAACCTGTCGCTGAAGCCAGTTGTTATATTGTTGGTGTTTCACTCCTGTGTATCTTCTTGTGTGGATAGGTGAGCTAATTCATGCACACCAGCAGATTGGGTCGTCATGATATTGGAATGCTGCCTTCAGTTCACCTCACTTCTTTTCCTTGAGCTCACCCCCTCCCTCTAACCTGCCTTCATTCTCCTCCATTCATTCTGCAGAGCGACCTGTGAGTGCACAGTCTCAATAAAGTTGCCTCTAACAGTAACAAATAGACAGACACTGAGGAACTGAGGACTGGTGGCAGAATCAAGGCACATACACATACAAGGAGTCTGAATACATGAATTTCACAATAAAGAAAGAAAAAGTTTAAGATATGTCAAAGTAGTGCTGCCAGTGCCATGCAAATTCATACACAAAAAGAAACTATACACATAAATTGATTCAGTGAGAGACAAGGCTGCGTAGGTTCAAAATGTCAGGAGCAGACGCAGTCAGACACAAAATGTGTTTTTTATTCTGTGATATTGATGGACATCTTTTGAGCAGCATTTGATTCCTCTCTTCACTTTTCAACCTCACACATTTCCTTGTGAGTTTGCTCAGTTGTCAAGTTTTTGGTTTAGTTGTCGTCATGTGACATATTCCTACAGTAAGTGGATTAGCGTAAATCAGATTATTATTCTCGAGGTCAAGACTGTAGATGAGGGGATCTGAGTTGATGAAAGTGTTTGACGTGTTCATCTGCATGCCTTTAATTATTATGAAAATATAGTCAGGAAAAAAACTAGCAGCAAAGAGGTGGATTCTGCCCCAAGTGTTCCAATGATTTATTTGTTTGTTGCGCTGATACTAGAGAGGGACATAGTCATAAATTATACATGACTGTTATAATATATATATATATGAATTATATTGTATTAGTAATTTTATTATGTTAAATAATAACAGTTTTTGTTGAACTGTCGTTGCAAAGAAAATCACTTTTTTTAGCTCAACAACCCTTGACTTTGTTGTCCCCCCCCAACCACCACCACTGCCACCACATACACCATTTCTCATTTCGTTAACATATACTACCAAAATGCTAATTAGAGGATGTGAAGAGGTCGCGGGGGATGGTGGGGATGACATGTAGCAACTATGTTATACATGAATGAAATAAAAGAAGCCACAGCGTTTTCACTTTTATTTCTACCAGTGTGTTAGTGTTAGCTTTGTCTTGAAAAACATTGACCCAGACGCATCATTTTGTGCAATTAGTCTTCTTGTCATCGATTTCACTGATGCGTGCGAACAGCCGTAGCTTTGTTGTGACAACAGTAAAAAGAGGAATGGTGGAGGGGGGGGGGGGTCCATTACCATGAGCCAGTGTACTGTTGGTCTGCCCTGTGCTGCTATATCTTGTCTTCCTCTTCTTCTTCTTCTATATCTGTGTGTGTGTGTGTGTGTGTGTGTGTGTGTGTGAGCGATCTGCCTGAGATGTACATTAAGGGTAGTAGTGTATGTACCCACTTTGGGATGGGATTAGCGTAATTGGGCCATGTTGGTTCTTGGTGCTCTATAATGATGGGATTATGTCGCTGAGAGATGAGCAAAAGTGTTTTTACACTTCACCACTGTCCAGAGCAGGCACAGCTGCCCAGTCAGAGAAAAGACCCAACAGAGAGGGGGCGATAGAGAGAAAAGCGATGCAAACGGATGTCATGGGACTGAAGGCCAGAGCTACTGCACTGTTTCAAGGCCAGGTAGCTGCCACCACCTTCATCTCAGGTCAGTTTATCCATCCTAATGATGAGAGGTTATTGTAAGGTGAAATAATGTGATGCCAGATCTCAAGGACAAGCCCAGCCTCGAGCACAGAACCAAGCGAATGACTAAATGAGGAGGAGGCCCCCTATCCACCCACACACACTCTTTCTCCTTCTCCGCCCGTGGAGAGGGAGTGAGCTCCAGCAAGGAGCTACGCATGCCGCTCATGTATACTAAAACCCCACTGATCATGCATTATAGATGTGGAGGGAGAGAGGTGCCGTAGCGCAGCCACTCCAAGGTTTTCAGCATGTAGCACTAACAACACTGGCTTTGATCATAAATCTGATGATGCTTTTCCCTCGGTTCCTGGTGTGTGAGCGATTTTTTTTTTTGTCCATAGGCAGAGAGAGAGGGGAAGTAGGGTCATTTTTAGTGTACTAGTGCACTGGAATCTTCACTGCACAGTCGATGCCAAGTCAGCAGCTACCCAGAAAAGTGACTTCACTGCTGTTTACTAGTCACTTCAAGTCTCCATCTGTCAGTACACACGCTATGCTTCAGTGTGCTTCTCTACATGTTTGTCTGGAAAAGAAAAAGGCCATTAGTCAATAAACAGAGTACTCTGACCTGCGTGTGTGTGTGTGTGTGTGTGTGTGTGTGTGTGTGTGTCTAAGGCACTGATTGATTGAAATTGTTTTGCTTTTCCAGGTGTGTCTGAGACCTCTCATTCTCGCTATATTGAAACACATACACAATATCACACACACATTTGCACACACACACACACACACTCATATGCTTGAGCTACTGTCACAGGGTAAACAGGCCAATAAGTGATACACAGAGGGAAAGCAAAAACACTTCAGGCAATCACACTCTCAGTTCCATGGACAACTAGACTGATTGTCGTACATTTTTCTTATAGCTGTGTTGAATTAGCAGAACTACAACCACGCACTGAGACTGCACAGTCACAGAAGGATAAGACGGCACATTTTATATTATAGGTTCCGTGTATTTTTCCTGACGAATATGAAACGTGGATTTATTGAAAAGATGAAATGTGGCTAATAATGTCTCTAAAGTCTCAAATGTAAAAATTTGCTCTGCCTGAATAAAACGTCAGCCTTTTATTCTTGCCAGCCCCACCAGCAGCTCAGAGTTGACTCAAAAGTTTCTGACAACAACATAGTATTCAGGCAGACACAATGTGAACATAATGATTTGAGACATCTACAATATTCCTATTTTATGAAATGGAGCATCCATACAAATACAGTGTCTTGGTTTTAAATAAATTAGTCAGTATGAGCACCAGTTGGAGCCAAGGGTTAAATCAAGAAAATACTGAATATACACTAGACATACATTTATTTGTTTTCGTCTGATAGTGGGATTTCATTTATTCAAAGAAAAAAATAGGAGGATTTTTGCAGCTTTTCCAGTTGCGTGAAAATGGAATGAATTTTCTTCCTCTCTTTATTTTTTAACAGGCTATCTGCTGCACTTTGGTGAACTGTAACTGTGACAGCTTCAAACCCGGGAAGCTGAAAAGAAGGCAGTGTGAAAACTGCAAGCATGGCTGGGTAGCACACGGTGAGAGCTCACAGGAAAATTTCTACTTTCATTACCCAAGTTTTTAAGTGTCTGTTAAATGAACCGAGACTGAAAACCGCGATTCATAAATCTACTATCTCGAATTGTGCTGCAAGAGAATGGAACCACAACATCCCAACCTGCCACGACGGCTGCATGTGTAGCCTGCTGAGCTCTAATTGCTACTGAAACAAAACTCATTGTACGTTTCACAATTACACACAAAATTATTATTCTAATTTAAGTTTGGGAAGGATAAATATATTTGTTACACATTTACAGTGCACCTATTTTGTGGTCTTCTGACTTCCTGTCATGTGACTATTTGGTTCCAGTCCTGATATAGTGATCACACCCCACGGTATAAGTAAGACTGGTTTAATTGACTCAAAATGGATAGTAAACCTAAGACTGCAGACTCTTAATGAACATAAGCTCATTGTGAAGTTGCAAAAAGTAATGGCATTTAAAAAACATTTGCATCAATAATAGATCTTTTCCAGATTTTTGGTTTTCAGACAGACATATTATGTTTAAAATCAAAATGTCAGGCTCCATCTTGGAGTGTTACTCTTGTAACACAGAAATGTCTAAATGTTTTGCGTGTTGCTGTTTTTTTGTCAACCACATCTGTTGCCTGCAGCTGGACCACTCTCACAAATGTAGCTGTTTTATCAGTTTGTCCAACACGTTTGGCTGCTGCTGAATTTATTTACAATCAATCCATTGTCAGGAATTGAGATTGGGCTCATCGCAGAATCTTGATAATATCTTTTTTTAATAACTGAACCAAAACTTTGTGTATTTTTGTGTTGCAACAATTAATCTTCAAATCACTTTGTGTCCTAAAGAGAGAGAGAGAGAGAGGTAGAAAGGAGGGAGACATTTTTTTAACAGTCATTTAATCTTTGAGAGACTAGAAGTAAACTGTTACTAGACTGCAAATGTTATATCTCTTTACAGTAATTTTGCTAATGACGCCAACATTTGTGTAATATTTTTCACCTTAATTTAGTTTCCAAAATGATGTACTTGAAATTATCCACTGATGTAGAATATTCCAAATATTCACATTACTGAGTACTACTGGTTTTATGAATCTATGTGGCTATTTTATGATGGGCAGCAAACATTTTTGAAAGGAATTGCTCATTTATTAGTTAGCAACTAACTCACCAGAATATTTGAGACAGATTCCATTTGGACACAGTCGGCAAATACTTTAATCAAGAGCTAACCTTGTGGCCCTCTCTCTCACTGTACTTTCTCTAATAAGCCACAATGGATCACTTATGTCCAATAATAACTGAATTAGTGATTTCTCAATGTTTTCCGTTGGGTGATGACTGAGATAACTTGGCTATGCTTACATTTATAAACTGTATTCTTTTTTTGGAACCCCCCCACACACTTTTACACTGTGCTGTTTCTTTTTGCTGTGTACTCTATTTATGTGAGTGCAGAGATAGATATAGTTTCACGTGATCTAATCCAGTCAATTTGAATGTGTGTATTCTAGCCCTAAGCAAGCTTAAGGTCCACCACATGTACCAGAGCAGCCAAGTGGAGATTGTGCACTCCAACGTGGTGTTTGACATCTGCAGCCTGATGCTGTACGGCACCCAAGCCATCCCCATTCGCCTCAAGATCCTCCTGGACCGGCTCTTCTCTGTTCTTAAGCAGGAGGAGGTCATCCAGATCCTCAATGCCCTTGACTGGACACTGCAGGACTACATACGAGGATACGTGCTCCAGGTGAGCAGCACCTCTAAAGATATGTGCTCAAAGTACTTTTTAGGTAAACAACACCTACACAGGCCATTGCGCCTGGACAAAGCCCAACACTAAAAATCAGGCAATATGCACCATGACTAGAGATGCTTTGAAAAAGTGCTACAGTCCACAGACACTTCTGTTCATCGAGGAATATTTTTTAACACATAACAACTCAAAAAATCACAAATATTTGTCTTTGTGCTCTTTCTGTGTTTATATGGGTTTCAGATACGTCATGATAAACATGCTTCACAGTTGTTGGTAGGCCCATTTTTTAAATGTTTTGCCCCCATTCTGCCAGGTTAAACGGTATGACTCCAGCTGTGCACTTCACACAAACACATAAGACAATCATATCTTCTGAATCTTGTAAGGATTTCAATAATGCTGAAATATTAATTTAAATATTTAAACAATTCAATGTGTTTTACCTTTATTGATTTCATGATGGAAAATCCAACAGTCTAGAGCAGTGGTTCTCAAACTTTTTACATCATGTACCACCTCAGAAAATATTAGGCTCAACATTAAATGACCAACATTAAATTACAGTAGCGTGGGCCTAGCCTGTTCAGCTACAGACAGTTCACTCAAGAGGAAGGTTTATTCCTAGTAAGAAAATGATTTATTGTTGACTGTTGTCAGCCACAGCCATGCTGTACAAAGGTGTAGACCTAGAACTGTCAATCCCCGCTCTGGACTCACTGGCTGGTTCTCCGCAGATTAGCAGTGTGACCGCTACTGGCAGTGGAGCTGCTGATTTATCTCCTGTTTTTTCTTCAATAAAACTCGGATTGTGTACTAAACTAAATGTCAGGACTCAACAGTATGAAGACACGCATCTTCCAGTCTGTTGATAACAATCAAAACAATTCATTTGTTCTAACGGGATGTTAGATTCAGAAAATGAAACGCTTGTGACAGCAGAATAAACAGAGAAAATTATCTTTCAGATAAGTTTTTTTTCTGTTGAAGTTATGTAACAAACATAAATGGTTGCAACTCTTTCTGTATACATTTCAAAATAAAAGCACTCCAGTGTTTATGTTGACAGAATTCATTCTTTTGTTTAAAAAGTTTTTTTTATTATGAAATATTAGCAGGAGCGGAAGATGCACAGCTTCATACTGTATAGTACTGGTATTGATTTGAGTACGCAGGACTACATACACTTGTATACAAGGAAATAATGATATTTATGGCCATATTCAAGGCAAAGCCTGTGTAAAAGCAGTAGCAGCTCCTCTGCACAACATATTATTAAAACTGAAGCTAAATGTTGTGCATTGAACAGATGCTGTAAATATGAATAGATATTAATGTGAATATTGTGCATTGAACAGATAAAGTTGCACAAATAGAGCAAACCCTGTGAGCTAGTTCAGGCAGCCAACTCAAGCTGCGCTGCTCCAATCATGTGACACACATCATGTGACATACCTCATTCTCCACAATCATCTATTAGACACACCCACCTTATTAGGCAGCCTATTTAGGCAGAGAGAAATTTGCCATCAACCCCTTTGCTCGCACTGCTGCTGCAGTATTGCTACCAAGTCAGAGCCTAGACGCCAAACACAAACAATGTTCTACTGCTGCAATAAACAGTTGAACGTGAGTTGTCCGACTGAACTGCCTTCATACTATATATTTATGCTCGTACATTCAGCCTTTAACAAAAATTGCAAACAAATTAAAAATACGATCCTCCTAAGTGGGTTTTAGGGAAGAAATCAGGGTGGTAGATCTCAGCTTATGTTTGGAAATAAAAAGTGATCTTGGGCTCATAAAGGTTGGTGACCACTGGTCTAGAGGCTATAGGACCTGAAAAACCCATATAAGAGAGTATATCATGGAAGCAACACAGGGACTTTCTGAGGAAGATGAGGAAGGAACAGAAGAGAGGAGTCATTAAAGCATAACTGAAAACAGGAGAAAGTAGGGATTTGATATAGCAATGTATGCCACAAACTGTATTAGTTTCTTGCTGGTGTGGCCTGTTTGTTTCTGTGGTGCCACCATCTTGAGGAGGTGTTCTGAGTAGATTTGTAAATAACATGTCTTTTGCTTCAGATTTCATCTCAAACCAGAGCCAAGCCAGCTGAGGCCTGGGCTGCAGGCACTATCAAGCTCTCACTTCGATTAGTACATCATCAAGTATTCAAGTTGGACTGCGTTTAATTCATGTTAGCTCAACTAATGGCAAACGTAGAGTCAGAATCCTCGACAGGCGCCCAATGAATGCTCTGTGATGAAATATTAATCACGGTTATGGCACTAAGCCACTCCTCACTTTCAAAGACATCTGAACTCACATGTGATTGCTGCTGGCTTAAGGGGGAGAGGACCCACTTGATCAATGTGAGGTGCCTCATGATCACCCTTCCCTTACTTGTGTGTCTTTATGTTTGTGCACATATTTATTTTTGCATGCCTTTGGGAGTGTGCATATGAGTATACAAGTCTGCTACTATGCGTGTTCTTATTGAGATGTGTGTGTGTGTGTTCTCTATGTGCTTCTGCTGATACAGAGTGGGCAAACACACATGATTTAAATGAAGAGAAATGACCTGCAAGATGAAACACTGAGCGTAATGAGGGTTCTCAGGGTTCTGCTTATATTAGCCCTCCATCTGATTCCTTTATTTAACTGCTCTGCCAGTCTGTCTTATAGTGTGTGTCATCTAACCTACTCTGTGAATATGTATGAGCAACCCAACAGACACTTAAAATAATTATGATGAAATTGCTCTCTCTTCTTTCTTCCTTTTATCACTTTCTTGCTCCTTCTTCTCCTCCTCCTTCATAACCTTGCCCTCTCCCCTTTCCTATACCCTGGTGCTGTCCCCTTTTTTTCTGCCCTGTCTGTAGGATGTCGCAGGGAAGGTACTAGACAGGTGGGCCATCATGACATTCGAGGAGGAAATCGCCACCCTACAGCAATTTCTGCGTTTTGGTGAAACAAAGTCCATAGTAGAGTTGATGGCTTTGCAGGACAAGGAAGGCCAGGCAGTGTTGGTTCCCAGCACCCGCACCAACTCAGATATCCGCACTTTCATTGAGCGCAACACCCCACGCACTGCTGCCAGCCTCTCTACATCCAAAGCCAATAAGTTAAGCAGTAACAGCATGCACCACTTTGAGAACTTTATCAATAGCATGGCCTTCATGCTGCCATTCCAGCTGTTAGGCTCTGTTCCTGCACCATTTCTAGGCTCACCAACAGGGACACTGCAGCAGCAGCAACACCAACAACACCAGCAACCATGCTGTGGGTCCTTGGAGCAGCAGAGCCAAAGACGAGATGATCTAGGGCGGGATGATCTAGGGAAGGACAACCCTCTTTCACGACCTCCAGAAAGCAGTCTGCGATGTTCCAGCTCTCTCTCATTCACAACTGATCTAGAAAGAGGTGGAGACAAAACAATAGACAACCTCTCCACCACCACAAAGATTGAAGCAGAAGACTTCTCCACTAGTGACAACTACTCCGACGGACCCTCCACGCCATGCACACCTTCCATGAGCTCTGATGTAATGCAGATGTCACCTGAGGGGAAACTGCGCTCCTTGGAAAGGAACGGGAGCAGTGGTGTGGGGGTCTCAGGTGGGTGCGTAGGCTCCCTGAAGAAGGGTCGTGTATTTTGTAATGCCTGTGAGAAGACATTTTATGACAAAGGCACACTGAAAATCCATTACAATGCAGTGCACCTAAAGATTAAGCACAAGTGTACAATCGAGGGCTGTAACATGGTGTTCAGCTCGTTGCGCAGTCGCAATCGCCATAGTGCCAACCCAAACCCACGGCTACATATGCCCATGAATCGCAACAACCGTGATAAAGACCTGCGGGGCAGCATATCACCTGATGAAAGCTCTCAAGGAGAAAAGAGGCCTGAATATGGCCCACCCATCCCTGTCTGCTCTGCAGAAAGCCATAAATCTGTGTCCAGCTACATGGTGAGCCACGTGGATGTTGGCTCTAAGCTCCACAGTAGCTCATTCTCCAGCATGGGCCAGAGTGGCATTCTCTTTCCTAATTTGAAAACAGTGCAGCCAGTCCTGCCTTTCTACCGCAGTCTAGTAACTCCAGCAGAGCTTGCCAACACCCCAGGCACATTACCCTCTCTTCCTATGTTGTCCTCCTCTGTACCTGTCAAACCCATCACAGCCCTTGAACCCTGCATGACAGACCCGATACCAAAGAAAAAGTCACGGAAGTCTAGCATGCCAATAAAGATAGAGAAGGAGGCAGTGGAAAGAGATGATCAGATAGATAAGGAGAGCAGCTCTGAGGATGACATTCCCTTACATAGCAGGGAACAGGATGAGTGTGACAGTATCCGAGCTGAAGGGCCTTTGTGTACAAGACCAGGTGGAGAGGAGAAGGAGGTGAATGGGGCTTACACTGGTGAAAAGAAGGAGAGGGACAGCCCTAAAAACCTGTTGGACCAAACCTTAGATAGAGAAATGACAGAGAGAATCAACAAAGATGATAGGCCAAGGCAAGCTGAAACAGAGGTAATCACCCGTTCATCCTCCCCCTTTGGAAACAGACTGATGGAGAACCACTGTGAAAACAATTTACTATGTCAGGAACCCGATGAAGAAAGGATAGACAGGGAACATGCTAACTCACTATATGCACCTGACCAAATTTCAGAGCTCAAGTGGGGCGAGGGTGAGCATAGGGTGAGAAATGGAGGCACTCTCCAGCTCATAGACCAAGTCAGGGAAGAGGCTGATGGCTGTGTCGATGATTATAGTGACTCAGGGTTATCTCACTACGAACCCGATGCTGACCTGCAACACCACTGTGAAATTTGCAGTAAGACCTTTAAGAACCCCTACAGCGTCAAGATGCACTACCAAAATGTCCACCTGAAGGAGATGCATATGTGCACAGTGGATGGCTGCAATGCTGCCTTCCCCTCCCGCAGGAGCCGAGACAGGTGAGAGGCAACCATTTCTTCCACTTGTTCCCGCAAAGATTTTCAGAATTACAGACTGATAGTATTCAAGTCCCATCTCAAATGCAATACTATTTAGTTTAGTCAGTTGGCAAGTTCTGTTTGGTTTCACCGAGAAGACACTGGATATCAGTCATATACCATCAGATCAGTCATAATCTTTGTTTTACTTAAACATGTGAATATGCTGACAGGAAGGAGGAACAGAAATCAATTCATCTAGTGTGGTTCAAATGTATTGACTCTGTGCAGACGTCTGCAGGCAGACAAAAAAATTTATAATAAACTACAAGTACCCAGTGTGTCTTAAAAAATGTATTTTAAGGAGGACAAGGCATGTTGAGTTTTAGCTGAGCATGATTTGAGTTGTATATGTATTTGATTTAAGTCATTCACTGTGTGGTGTGTGATACTATATATTATACATATTCAAAGCAAATATTGTTTCATTTGCAGGCACAGTGCAAATTTGAACCTGCACCACAAGCTACTGACCAAAGAATCCTTCAGCCCAGCCAGCACACTCTACTTGCCCTCATCCCACAGTAGAGACAGAGAGTCTGTTTGCCTGGATTACAGCCAGGACCGGGATAGAGACCAGGCCCATCGAGACCCAACCAGCCACACCTCTGTCATCTTCCGAGGACACAACCGCATGGGTCTGGTCTTCCCCATGAGCAAAATGTGTACTGCGCCAGACAGTGCTGAGGCATTGCCCTTAGGAGAGATGGAGGGGTTAGGAGGAGGAGGGGGCGGAAGTGGGGAGGATGGAGCTGTCCTAGACCTGAGCACCTCTTCTTCTGCCCCACCCCGTGGCAGCAGCAGTGCAAGATCTTCCTGGGACTCTGATGGAGCCGGCAGTGAGGAAAGGGAAGGGGTTGAGGAGAATGAGATTCTCCCCATGGAGGACAGCGATGAAAGCTGCGATGGGATTGGCATGGGAAGGCCTGGGGGCGAAGAGTTGGTATTCGGGGGAGAGAGGACCCTCAGCAGCATTGTGGGAGGACAAGGCGGGCTTCAGGGAGGTGGGGGTGGATCTCCAATAACCTGCCACATCTGCCAAAAGGTCTATAGCAACAAGGGCACATTCAGAGCACATTATAAGACTGTCCATCTACGACTGCTTCACAAGTGTAAAGTCCCTGGCTGTGATACTTCTTTCTCCTCTGTGAGAAGCAGAAACAGGCACAGCCAGAACCCGAACCTACACAGGAACCTCGCTGTCAGTTCAGGTGCCATAATGGACCAGGAGTAGGGTCTTAAGACTGATTTCCTTTGTCCTATTTGTCTTGTTATTGTTGTTGTTGCTGTTGCTGTTGTTGTTTTCTTTTGGGGGCACCTAAAAACGCTAACCAATTAGCACTTTTTAAGTCTGTAATATCCTGATGTCATAATTTGTAAAAACAGAGAGAAAAAAATCAGGATTTCATTTGTTGCAGCAAACACAATCTCCTTTTGGAACAATCAGCTTTGTCTGCAAAACAAATGTTGATAAAGCATTACATACATCTGTATACATATCAACATGCTATTTTAAGAACAACTGAAAGTTACAGTACATTAATTTTCAGTCTCAATATTTCATTGAAATGCAGTACTGATTTATCCCTGTTGTTTTTCCTTATAGCTCAGTTTATACATTAAAAACAAAAAATGTCTGTGTTGTCCAAATAAGAGTTAAATCATGACACTGTACAATGAGACTGTTTTTCTTCCAGTTTTTTTGTTGTCAGATGTCCACATTGTCACTGTGAAGCTGTTCATTATGCATTGATCAAACGCAGTAGTGAAGTAACGTCTCCATCTGATGTTTCATTCATGTGGATAATGGTCTTCAAAAAGAGTCTTTGTTAAAAAGCTATCATGTTGTGAACTTGAACTTGACCAGTTATTGTATGGTGTTGACCTAATCTGTCTTTACTGTTTTAGTTGTTCCACACTGCTAATGTTTACCAAAGATTTTTTCTCATATTGTGTGAGGTGTGTTCAGTATTAAAAGGAGCCCAGCCAGTCTTCTCTCTTCTACTTTGTGATTATCAGCAGTATTTAGACTTTGGCTATATTGTAACATACAATGAAATTCACAAAATAAACCAACAAATTAACAAAAAACCTTTGACTGATCAGGGTGAAAGAAATCTCGATTTTGCTGGTATTTCATATGAAATCTGCCCATGGGACTAGACTTGATTAAGGCCGTGCTCTTGTATTGTCTTTCTTGCAGTATCTTGACTGACTGGACAAACAGCAGGAAATGATGCTGTATTTGGAGACAACAGAAGCATATACTATGAATGAGTCAGACACTGAGAAATAACAATGGAAAAAAATAATAATAATGGCCTCACATGTGATCACACCGTAAAAGGAACTGGTGAACAAAATGTTTATTAAACTGTATATTCTGTGAATAGAGTAATTTGTTATTTGAAAGAAACCAAAAAAATATACTGTATAAAATAGGTAAAGTTTACCATTAATATTATACGTTTTGCCTTTTTTCTCTCTCAAATGAATGAACAAGAAATTGTGTTGTATATGTATGATTATTTCACCATGGTTTACCGTTCTGGTTTTGCTCTATATTCTGCAGAAAAAATGTCATTCTGTATTTAAATGCAGTGGACTCGATTTAAGATCCTGTTTGTTTGTTGTTTGGATTAGTTTAAAAAAGGAGCAAAAACCCACCCATGCTGATAGGTGTTCATGTTTCTTTTGATTTAATGTTACAATATTCATTCCAATTAAATAAAAAGCCATATGTTTGCAAGTCTCATTCCTTTCAATCTTCTATATGTTTATAATTATGAATAAAATGTAGCACACACACATACACACACACACACACACACACACAGATACACATATATACATTACTATGTGTGTCCTTAATTTAAGGTGGATTATTCATGTTGTCTTGGTCATAATGGCAGCAGGACCATGTGATCCGGGGACAGGACAGCTACGCCTGCATTAACAGGATTCTCTGCAAAAGATATTCTTCTTAACAAGTTGATTAAAATAGAGCTGAAGTTCTTTTTCACTAAAAATGACTTGCCACTTGCATCTAGCCATCACATTCACGTTTTAATTTTATTTATGTTATGAACAGAAGTTAATTTATGTTTCTTGTGGCATTGATAGATAACATTTAAAACAATATCTCTCCATATAGAACATCTCTGGAAAACCCAAAATACCAATGGATGAAATACTCTTTTGACAATTCAATTCAATTCAATTTTATTTGTATAGCGCCAAATAATAATATACATTATCTCAATCCACATTAATAATCATCTACTTTAGAGAGAGGCGAGAGAGACCGGGAACACTTGTGCACCATCAGGTATCAGCTCAGACAATAAGAGTGTAAAGATGTTGATTATTAATGATAGCAGCAACAATTCATATGATAATGGATTACTAATAAGTATTGTTGTTAATAATAATAATAATAGTTGTTGTCCTGCAGTTCTGGAGTCAAAGATACCTGCAATGAGAGAGAGAAATAGAGAGAGACTGTGGGAGGGAAAAGACACATAGTTAGTGACAAGTGCTGACAGGGTTAAGAGTGAATGTTGATTCTGGTGTAAATTAGCTTTTTGAAGTGAACAATCATTTTGTCATTATCTCTGTATTACGGGAGCAATCTACCTTATTTTGTCTAATTTTAAGGTAGGCCTACCGATATTTCATATATATTAATATTTCATCATATTCCACTAAAAACACAAGTTTCCAACAAGTTTTGAAAGATATTTAACCTGTTCTAACAAATGAAGAGACTAAATGAGAGACAACAAATTTCAGAGGTTATCTTGCCGTAAGTTCATTGGTGACAGGCTGAGGAGGGGAGTCGTCGACAGAATGACTGGGTCCTGGTCAACCGCAGCTTGACCCCTTTACTGATATATAGGCCCGAGTAAGCAAGCAACCAAATCAAAACAGAAAGGCAGCTCAGGCAATGAAACAAATTGTGGACACACAGGTACCGTAACAGCAATGACTAAATGCACACAGAACACAGAGGAAGGTTTTGATAGAAGTGAAAAACATCCACCACACAACATGTATTTTTTGCAGCTCAATGAACAGTCTTTTTAATAGTTGTTTTGATTTTATTATAATTTCGTGATTTTATTTTTATTTTAGTATGATAACACGAAAGACATCGAGATGGTAGTCACATTCAGCAGTTATTCAAATTTGCATTGCTTCAAAATGGCATACACTACATGACCTGAAAAAAGCTCTCACGGTTACTGAAGAGGTGAATTAATCGCTGTAATGCTGCTATGCAAAGTTAAAGGGCATGGATGGAAATGGACCAGGGACAGTGGAAGTATTGCTGGGCCTACATTGAAAAAGCGAGGAGGACAAATCTGTTACGCAACATGCCAAAGTATTGCACTATTACAGAGGGCTGAAAGCCTTGCATAACTCAACAATTCAACCCACCCATCACATTTACTGTACATTAGCAAGCTTGCAGAGCTGTTCCTCATCACTTAGGAGCTGAAAAACACGGTTCTGACAAGTGGCCCCCATCCTTTCTCTGGTACGTTGCAGAAATCTAGTACCACTCACAGAGGGCACAATGGATTTTTTGAGTCCCGCCTGTGTGTTGTATGTAGGCGACAATATTCAGCAGAAAACCCGGTTGATCTGTAGAGGTGGTGCACTTGCTCAACTTCCTCCACAGTGCTGTATCTGTATCTGGAGCGATTTGAATCTTTAGGGCTATTTTTAAGGAGCATGGATCCTTCCCTGCATTACTTTGGTGAAATAAACTTGCAGTGTTCAGGACAGATTTATTTTGACCACTGACGAACAGAAATAGTGCTAAACCTCCCTTTTAAGATGATAGAATAGGAACAGTGAAGCCTGAATCTATTTATCACCAGGAACTGTCTCGTCTTTTTTGACTCTTCTTCTGCCCTTAAAGTGTGTTCAGACTGGAAGCAATAAGTGATACAAAATTAGAGTCTAAATATCTAACGCTCCAATTCATGACAAAAAAACTTTTTTGAGATGATATTATTTGATCAAACAGTCAAACATGTCTATAAGAGAAAACAAAAGGGAACTATTAAATGATTACCTGATTGTTGGATGTAAATGTCCATCCTGTTTACAGACCAACTTATTACTTCAACTGCTGTACCTATAGAGCTTCTGCACACAGATCTGTTTCTTTGGTGCTAAGTTGTGTTGTAAGGAATAAATTCCATTTATTCAAAAGATTTTTATTGGGCCTGAAAAAACTTTTTTTCCTCCAAATGACCGAATATATTTGTTACTGTGATTTTTTTATCCTGTTATTAATGCAGATCCACTTGTTTCAGGTACATGTTACATTTTACATGGTAATTCTGTTGAAATTAAAATTTGTATATTAAAGAAAGAACACGTAGAACAGTGAACAAAATTACATGTTTACCTCACTGCTGATCAGAGCAGGAGCCGAAATACCTCTGACAGTTGCACACAAAAGACTAAAGCCAGATGTTAGTGGGTGTTAGTGGGGTTTTTGGTGCAGTGTGAAAGGGTTGCAGTCAATTGTTTGGTGCTGGCCAGGTAGTATCCACTAAAAACAGCTGCTATAGCTGTTATCTGTGAAACCAAAATAATTAAATGAAGGGGGCTCAAAATCGAGAGCTGTGAGCATTTAATGTCTGTCTATACTATGGCTTTGTCTTGCAGTTGTTGGTGTACATTGTTATCATAACTGACAATGTCAAAACTACAAAAAAATTCAAATAGTATGTAAAGCGTGAGCAGAAGAAAATAAAAGTGAAACAAATATCCTCGTACTTTTTGTGAGAATACGTGAGCTGATTGCTATCCTAAAAGTTAGATTTGCTCTGAGCCAGCACCTGGGAGTCAGCAGCACATTACTGTGAAAATCCCAAACAGTGAAACTGAGCCCCCTGAACAACACTGTCGCTGATCCTGCCACATGTTCCAGAGAGAGGGGTCTTTCTGGGGCACTGACACCGGATCCCACTTCGAGGTCCTGGGATGGGGATCAGGGCTAGCCAAGGGGGGCTAGCTGGGTTAAGGCAGAGGGGGGTGGTGGGGGGACAGAATAGATTGTCCACGGGTGCTTGGGAAGCTGAAGAATTTAAGGGGGTATTACCATCCAGCACAGCAGCCAGATGGACAGCAGATGACTTTTGTTCATCCAAAGGAAGAGGAGGTGGAGGTAGAGAGAAGTAAAAGCAGAGGGAAAAAGAAAGAGAGGGTCAAATACAAGTTTTCAACTTTACCAGTCAGTTTTCTCCATGACATGTTCATCAAAATCATGTGTGAAATCCCAATATACATTACAGTTATTACATCCATTGTTACTCCATCTATGAAGTTTTATAAAATCAAGAACGAAAGAAAGAAATAGAAATAATATTCAAGCAAGAAATATTCAATAGGATTGTAGCATAGAATAATGTCCTCCAGCTTTCATTTATCTGTGCACACAAATTAAAATCTTATAATGCACTAAAGTCACCACAGTGGGTCCACCAGCGCAGGAATGGGAACTGCCCCCTGCCGCTGGAAGTATCTTCTCCTCTGCAGGCCTGTACTGCCATCTGATGGTGTACAAAACCATTCACAATCCTCTGACGTTTTTAACTCAACACTACACCTCAATGAATGTTCATTAGATGAAATGTTGATTCTGTTCATCAGAATTTTCCTTAAGAATATTTACATTTAACAATATGTAAGAAGTATTAGTATTGCAAAAAATCATTAATAAACAAAGTAACTCAGTAATCTTTTATATGGCTTCTTGTTTGGAGGCAAAAGCAGAAATAATTACAGCATGCTGTACTGTACTGAAATACCAAAGTGTACAAGTGGTAAAGAACTTTTCTGTCATAAGATCAAGAAAGACTGATGAAAATACTCAGGATTTAGCCCTAGTGTCTCATAACCTTTAAAGTTGTGGGGGAGGTTAACATCTGGCAACGCTGCCCATCCTTTTCTTTGACCCGTGCAACTGAAAGGTTGATTTGTGGATCAGGCAGGGGGCCTTCAAACACAAACTTTACAAATAATGTAAAGTCTGGTCTTTTTCTGTTGTCTTCAACAAGGCCCAGCAGTTTCTCATTTTGCTTTGAGTGTTCATGACCTTAAAAAGTTTAGACATTTCAACAGCTTTTACCTTACTCTCACAATGACATGCTGGTGTAATATTTTCACTATTGAAGGTATGTGGTGGTAGCAGCTGTAGTTGATGATTGCTTGCTAATATCTTCAGCCATTGTTGTATTCTCAACATAAGAGATATGCCAGTAGTCCATGGTACTGTGAGCCAAAGTTGTAGCTACCAGCAATGGCATGAACAGCCGCATGTCATCCTTTCACCGCTGGCTGTCGAGGTGGTGTCCAAATAACAACGTGGGCTTCGTAGATAATTGGCGCACTCTTTGGGGGAAACCTGGTCTGATTAGGAGAGACTGCAATCATCCCACATTGGATGGAGGGGCTCTCATATCTAGAAACATCACAAAGTTGATTGGACAGTCCAGAGTTGAGACCAGGAGGCAGAGTTGCAGTCTTGCACACTTCTCTATGCTTCTATCAGAGCAGTCAACCTTAATATCAAATAGAAACTGTGTGTTTGCCCCCCCCCCCCCCCCCAACCACCTTAATTCATTCAATCTAAAGTAAACAGGAGAGTAACACATTCAAACCTCCAAAAATGAATACAGCTACTATATGAGAATCAGAAAATTGAATGATAAAATGTAATCTATCAAACGTTAGGTCACATCTAAATTTCTACTTGTTATACTGATAACATAACATCAAATCAATTTATTCTGTCTAACTGAAACCTCGCTGCAACAAGACAAATATGTAGGTTTAAATGAAGTGACGATCCCCCACCCATTTTAATTCTATATATTATTCCTCGAAGCAGAGGCTGAGGTGGGAGGGGTCGCAGCAATCTCTAAATCGGACTTATCAACCTACGACCTAAAGGTGACCTCATCCTCAGCGTTGTTCAACCAGCTGGAAATCACAAAAACCAGTTCATCTAGTTGTCATATAATGTCCACCTGCCCCTTACTCTGATTATCATTATTAATATTATTATCACATCTGTAAATATGACTCATATTATTTTCTTTATAAAAAAAACAGTCTGACAGAGCTTAAATATGATGGTTACCCAACAGTTCCTGGTCTCTGCCTTCTCTCTCTCGTCCTCTCTCTGTTCTCTCTTCCACATTTCTTACCTTAGCGGTCCTCCTTTAGGGACTTTCCACCTGAAGCCCATGCAGTTAGGGCAGGATCTAAAGATTACTATTCAAAGCAACTTAGTGCCACAGAAAGAGCTACAATCTCCTGCTGCAGCATTTTTTTCAACTGCAAACATTGAAGTGACACATCCCTCAGGAGGGCCATTTCTGTGTGCACTTGCGAATCATGTCCCATGTAACACTAAAAAAGTGCAGTGTTTTGCTTCCCCTCCATTTTCCTCCCTACAGAAAAGGACAGAGAGCCCGATTTCTGAACTCAAGTGGTAGAAATGGCCTCAAAACCATGAATATGAATACACTATCAGTGTGATGCACAACACTGGGTATCTATACGTTTGGGAGATTGCAGAAAAACAATAGCTCCTCATATGCAGACTCTTACAATCACAGTATTTCACTGAGTCAGTGAAAATTCGTAAGTTCAGGTTGTTTAGTGGGTGTGTATAACTGAGAGAAATTCTGCAGATTCCATTCATTAGCCATAGAATAAGGATAGCGTTAGTTAACTTACTTTTTTGTTTGATAAGAATCCTTCAGTATTCAGAGGTACTGGGATGTTACCATTATGTATCTGAATGGACACCTTACTATTGTACTTTTCACCTCTTATTGCACACAAACACATATATACAGCACTACTCTCATATTATATCACACATATACACTATTTCCACAATTTAGGGTTCACTGTCTTGCCCACATGTAGACTTGTGGAGCTGGGGATCAAACCACCAGCCTTGTGTTTGTGGACAACCCACTGTAACTCCTGAATCACATCCACCATGTACATCCATGTCAAATCCATCTGAAAAGTGATACCAAATCCCTGGTGCATGCCCCACCATGAGGGCAGCACCACTTCAAGGAGATAAAAAAAAAAGGTCTGGATAGGATGAGTATGTACTGCAACGGATATACATATTCAAAATGATTGCTGTGGCCTCTATACCTAGCAGCCCAGTCAGCCCATTCACGATGAATTTGGATATTACTGAACATTTATTTTCCTAGAAAGCATGACAGAGCGAGAGAGGGAGAGAGAGAGAGAGAGAGGGAGAGAGAGGGAGCTCATGTTAGCCATCGAGATAGGGGAGGGTAGATTGCCTCATATTTTGAGTTTTTGTACCTATTGGCAGTAATGGCAGGATTATGTGTGCAAACATGAACTTGTAGGTGTCCGAGCCCTGTGAGGTATATTTAATATTGTATTCAATAAAACTTTAGACGTTTGTTAAATACCAAGTTCAGAGGGAAGTGGAGAAGTGCTCAGTGGATGATGGGAGTTCCCCCAGCAATCTAGACCTATAGCAGCATAACTAAGGGATGGTTCAGGACTCACCTGATCCAGAACTAACTATAGGCTTTATCAGAAAGGAACGTTTTAAGTTTAACTTTAAATGTAGAGATGGTGTCTGCCTCCTGAACCCAGAGTGGGAGCTGGTTCCTCAGGAGAGGAGCCTGGTAGCTGGATGCTCTACCTCCTGTTCTACTCTTACTGACTCTTGGAACCACAAAATACATCCATAATCAGTAAATCTGTAAATCTTGTTAATTTGTTTGGTCAAATGCTGTCTCCTGTTTCACTGACGAACAGACTGCAGACATCAGACTGATATATCAGCCACAGTGGTCCGCTGATCCTGTTTTTGTCATTTGTTGTTTGTCAAGATATCTCCGACGCTCGTGAAGTCATCCTTTCTCTCCACAGCCGTTTCCTCCGCACGAGCAAATGTGAGCCAATGGGCTGTGAGAAGCGGCGACATCTCTGCGATTCAGGAAACCCTCTCCGCTCGAAAAGGTCAGCGAGCCTACGTAAACCACGTTTCCGGTCTTTTCTTTCAGAATAAAACAGAGACGGAACAGTAGTACACAATATTTCAACACTTTCAAAGCTCCAGTGAACATTACAAAGATACATATGAAATTAGTTCGCCACTTACACAGTGGAGTACAGGATACATTGTATAGACTTAGGTTTATACCAATAGTGACGGGGAATGTGTATTGAGTAGATGTTGGTGAGACCGTGTTAAGGTGAACTATGATGGGAAAATTATACCCATATATGGAGAACTGTGACACAAAATTAAAACCAGTTCCAAAGTCATACGGTAAAACCATACTAATACCATAAAAGAAAAAAAAACAATCAGCGCTGGACTTGGCACTTTTATTTTAATAACAACGAAGCCTGTTCCGGGGTGGTCGTCCTTGTGGGGGTGAACTTGACTCCCAGGTCTGGCTATGGTGTGGCCGCAGTGTTGACTGATGAGTGCGGAGCTGTGGAGCCGCCTCGCTCTGTAACGTACATTTCCTCTGTCTGGTGTTCGCTGGTTTGGGAACAGTTCCTCCGGAGGAGAACGGTACGCGGTCCATGATGTCTGTGGCCGGGCTGAAGAAGCAGTTCCACAAAGCCAGCCAGGTAACGAGACGCGTCTCACCGCTCGCTCACGAGTGATCGGATGTTAACGGTGTAATCAGAACCAGTCTTCGTAGTAATAATAATAGTTATAGTAATAATATACACCTGTCAACTGCAAATGATGACATCTTATCGCTGTGGACTGTGACACCGGGCTCAGGTGAGGTTTTGGTGAATTGTACGTATCCTGTGTAACGCTCCGTTTCATCGTAAGTTCGTGTTAAACCGAGAGATATCGTCACACCAAAGTCTTGTGTGACGATATGTGCTGTTGCATATGTGCGAGCACACATTCGCGGTTCAACACGATTCGAGATTGTTTGCGACACAATCGAGTCCAGTGGATCGTTCGGCTCTGCCATTGATTTATCATGCCTCCATCTCGCAGCACACCACTGTAATAATGTGGGAAATGTTCGACCTGGTTCGACCAGTGACAGGAACAGGGTCAGGTGTGTATTATGTGTAATGTATTACAGCAGCTCGCTCTGTTCTGTCCAGATGTCACATCATCCATGTGTCTAATTTGCTGCTACAATAATTTTAAGTTGTACAGGTGTCATCTGTCAAACTTGACTCTTTGACTTTATTTGTAAGGACGCCTCGTATTATTATTATTATTATTATTATTCTCAAAGTACTGTGTGGTGGGTGGCTGTGATTAACTGTGAACCACTTGTAACATTCAGTATGTGTTTTTGGAAAATAAAAGCTGGATCATCTGCTGGTCTACATGAGCAGTGGCTCTTAGTGATTCATCCATCACTCAAGCTTTGAATATTTAATGATTTGTCAAAGACTGACAGGAAAACAACGTTAGTTTTTCTGATTAATTATATACCAATTATAGGTAGATCTCCATAGTTTCATAATGATTTGTAGAATTTTCACACTTGCAGAAATCTAATCTGTAACATAGTGTTTGGTGTAGGGCTGCCCCCCTAAAGTCAAATCATCAGTCTGAGATCTCACAGTTGACTGAGATTCTTCAGGTCCAGCAATTAGTTTTTTCTGTTTTAGCCGTATCTCTGTTCAGAATTAGTGAATTTACAGAACACAACTACTTAATTTGACATAGTCTCTGGCTTTTTTATTTAAATGTATTTTTTGGGCATTTTATTATTTTTATTTGGAGAGGACAGAGAGCAAGCTGTGAAGGAGGGCAGAGAGAGAGTGGGGGAAGACACGCAGCATGACCATGAACACCTCACCTGAACCCTGTTCCAAACTCTGGCAGTATGATATAGTTTTGTTTCATTGTCAGTATGGGAAAAGGAACAAACTGTCAAATACTCATGTTGCACTGCCATTTTAATTCTGTGGGAAACAAAAGTTTCCACAAAGCTAATGCATGGTTTTAAATCAAGCTCTTAAAAGATTCTTTAATTGCTCATTTGCCAACCTTCACGACCTTAGATCAGGTCACACATTAGAGATTTACTGTCTTCTCCCTTCACAGCAGAGAGAAAATCTGATTACTTCTGAAATGATTCCCGTGTGCATGAGACAAATGTCAACCTGCCACTTCCCGTTTGCGTGTGTCTGCTCCGCACTGTTGTTGTAGTGTCATTCCCACCATGCTTCGATCAGTGAAACTGACATTGAACTAGATGTGCAGGTTCTCTTCTACTATGATAATAGAAATTATCATTTTAATGAATAAAATAATTGGAGATGTTAAACATATATGGACACATTTATGTACAGGGGAGACAGGCTGTGGCTTAGGGGGAGAGCGGTTGTCCTCCAACCAGGAGGTTGGCAGTTTGATCCCATCTGAATGCCGAAGTGTCCTTGGGCAAGTTGCTGAACCCTGAGCTGCCCCATAGAACTAAAAAAAAAGAATGCTGCTAATAGGTGCACGGTATGAATGTGTGTGTGAGTGGGTGAATTGCAAACTGTAGTGTAAAGAGTGGTCATCAAGATGAGAAAAGCTCTGTATAAATACAAACCATTTACAGGCCTTTAGTTGGAAATGCTTTCTAAATACTCTCATGACACTGTTTTCTACCTGTTTGATGTCACTGTCCTCTGAGTCATGCAGTGGAGCAGTCAAAGCCAATTCTGTGAAACAATACAGAGCATTCAGTCATTCGCATCACCAGCAGTGGTATGACAACCTGTGACTCTATGAATCAGACCTGCAAAAAAACAAATAGGGCTCCATTTCTAGAACGCTGTATGCCATGTACTGTATGTGAAAATATTGTTTAGTGTTTCACCTGCTTCCTGAAGAGGAAGTCCCCCATGGACTCAGACCAGATAAATAAATGTCCCCAACCAGCAGACAATAAGTGGGAAGGGAAACATTGTCAGTTCTTGTTTATTTCAACCATATCTGAATCTTTTTCCACTGTTAGTGGAGAGGGAGCTAGAGGTATGTAGTGGAACATCATGTCTGGCCAGGTTAGATACATTTGTGTGTGTATGTGTACACACAGTGTCAATATGAGTTCATGCTTTAACTCAAGCATGAAGCAAGCAAAAAACTACTGCTGGGTTGGAACTTTTAGTTGGGCTTCAGTTGTGATTATTTGAATGAATTATTGATGAGATGATCATTCTTCAGGTTCTGGTCAGATGTCTGGTTTTGTCAAACCAACAGTTCAAAACGTGAAGATCTTCAGTTTTCAACAATAGAAAAGAGAGAAAACAGTCCTCTCCTTCCTCTATCTGTGACTTGATAACAGCACTGTTGTCCTTGTATCCACTGCTCAGTGTAATGTACAAAGTTCACAGTCATTTGTACAGGTGGAACCCACTGTCTGTGGAATTTTGTGACTAATATCTGAAGTAGTGGTAGTAATAAAAGCCTGCGATTACCCAATGTTTGCTTCTCCACTGTTTCCTCTGGCAGAAGGAGCTGTTAGAGAAAAATAGCAGCAGACAGCTGTCTACAGCTTCTGATAAATCTTTGAACTGCTTGACTTTACTCTGAAACCAGAAGCTCTGAAAGTTTAAATGTAGTTAGTTATTGTTAGTTTAGATTTAGAGTTGGTCGGTCTTGTGATACGGTGGAAGCCGGATATACCGAAAAGAGATTTAGTGATCAATCATTTATATGGACAAAAAAGCTTGGAACAGAATTGTTTCTATATAAATGCTGTTTAAATAATCCTGTTAAAGAGATCAAGAAGTCAGCTTCTACAGTACAGTATTCATTTTAGGTCTTTTCATTCATGTTTGGACCTTAAAAGAGATATTTTTTACAGTTTTACGGGCTCTGTCAGTCTTTTACTGCTCCTCTCTGTGTCTCTATCATTCACCCTGTGCCTTGCCAACCGAGGCAAGCCAAATCCAGCGTGGCCTGCCACCTCCTCTGGCTCTCCATACATTGTCAAAGTTTACAAATTCTGTTGTTTTTACCCAGTGTGAGCTTACACGTTTCCGATGACTGTTGTGAAATGTAGTTTCAGATCTTGATAATTGCTATCTAAGTTGATGAACTCTATAGATAATGGATAGATGGATAATTCTGTGATGGTGCTGCCAGCAAGCACTCTTACAGTATATTCATTGTATATATGTAGAACAGACATGTTAAGATGATAGTATCTTATTTTGTATAGATGAGGTGGAGAAGTGAAAATCAAAATGTCACGGTTGACTGTTGGTCCAAACTCAAGTGGCCCGTGGTACAATTATATCCGACCCACGATAAAATATCATATGTCTTTCTTAACTGGCCCGCCGGTGCGCAAAGCCTGGCTAGACACACATGGAGCGAGCGAGCCCTCCTCACCACTCGTCGAGTGGGTTCCAGGCGGTGTCCACAGGCTCCATAGGCCGAGCCACAGTGTGCAATGCCCGGCTAGACGCACATGTGGAGAGTGCTCCTCTCCACTCACTCGCCCAGTATTTGATTATATGAAATGATTTTTCCAGCGTGCCTGCCCCGTCAAGTTCACCTTGTCTCTCGGGCTTATCTCTCTCCCTTTTCCTTCTGTCTTTCTCTCTCCATCTTTCTCTGGCCAAAGAGCGGTGTGCAATGCCCGGCTAGACACACACGGAACGAGCGCCCCCTCCTCACCTGTTGAGTATTTGGTATTAGTAAATTATTTTTCCAGTGTTCCAGAGATCCCAGTGCCTGTGTGCTGCTGTCTGTCAAGTTCCCCCACACGCTTTTCTCTGTGATGAAAATGAACAAAAACCCACACAGGAGTCGTCTCACTGATGCACACATTCACTCCATCTTGAGGGTTTCCACAGCACAGAACCTAACCCCAAACTTTAATGAACTGGCAGCCAAGAAAGGATGCCAAACATCTGGCTCTGGCACATGTACATAAAAGAAGAATGTAGCCGACCTAAATATGTTTAACTTTTGCACTTTATCCAACATCCTGTCTATACTGTTAATAAATGTTGACTATGTTTGGCCCTTGATGTAGTCCCAGTTTTTAATTTTGGCCCTCTCTGTGATCGAGTTTGACTCCACTGGTCTAAGGGTTCAAGGTATTGATGTGAATCTGGCTAGGGACCTTTGTTTCATGTACTGCCCCATGCATGTGCAGCTAGTGGCAGACATTTATTGTGAAGCTGGGAGTTTGGACAGTAGAGTTTAGGGTTAGATAATGGTACCAAAGATTATCTTCACATTCATGCATTTTTCTAAAACAAGATACACCTTGCACTTGGGTTTGTTTTGAAACTATGGGGTCAGTCCCAATATTCACAAATGCACACAGAAGGATTCACAGATACATTCCAATGCACACACAAATAGTTATCAATTTATATAAATGTAAAAAAAACCAATTCACAAATACAAAAAAGTTTCACAAATATATTTCTGCATTTGTGTGTGGATTTTTCTATTTGGGTGTGGATTCGTATGTATTTGTGTGTGGGTTGCTCTACATCTGCATTATTTTGGACGCAGACCTATCTGTAGCCAATTAGATGTCGCCCTCATTTTCAACCAAACACATGAGCGCAGCACCACGAGGGTACGATCCCACCAGCGTTACTATGGAAAGTCAACCTGGACAAAATTCGTC